TATATATATATATAACATTTGTTGATGCATTTCGAGTTGAGTCCTTTTTCTTGAATACGCATTTTAAGCTCTTTCAAATTTTTTGAACGCGCATTTTGAGCAGTGTGTTTGAACGCGCATTTTGAGCAAAAACTCTCCGGAAGGAAACTGAATAAAACTGCGTACGTTATTTCGAGTCTATTAGTTGCAACTAACTGCTTATGAGCATTTTGCTGTGCTGCAAGTTACATGAGAAGAAAAAAACTATTTTATTGCTTACGGCTAGAAAATTTCTTTCTCAAACTTCACTCGTACAAAATAAATCATAGGTAAATATAATTTAAAGACGAGTTTTTGTAAGCTTCCTTTATAATATATAAAATAAATTACATCGTTGGCGAAAATGGACTTCTTTTGATTTAGAGCACTTAGACTTGTCTTATTTTTGTAAAGCTCGCCGAATTGGAGATTTTTTTCAACTCATATTTCATCCTCTTAAGTACAAAAGAGGGGAAAATAGGTTATCCTGAAAGTATACCATGACAGAAGAAAAATAACGTAAAAAATGTTTTTCATCAAAAAAATATATATATTTATATATAGATATGGACAAGAAAGCAGAATTTTTTTATAGAGAGGCTTTTTTTTAAGTTATAGATAAGTCTTTTCCAGCAAACTAACTTTTTTTTTCTAAATTCATTTTGTACAATTAAGTTATTGCTCAAGAAACTAAAAGACCAATAAATAAAAAAATTATTTAAAAATAAACATTTCTTAATTTTTGTTTATGTCAGTTATGTGGTTCTTAAATTATTTTCGATTTCAAAATAAACATTGAGGTGGTAGTTTATCAGAACAACTATATCAACTCCAACCATTTAAATACAACTTCGAGAAGTAGTGCTAAGCTTGTAATATGAAGAAAAGTAAATAACATTATAATATGATAGTTAAATATTACATTGCTGCCCTAAAAATGCATATACTTTTCGCATAATGTTTTAAAATAATTTAAAAATATACATTAATGATGATCATTGCAGATCACACTATATTTATTGATTAGGCAGAATATTTAGAGTTAGTTAAGACTTTCTTTTGACACTGTAAAACGCCTGTATTTTATTAGCAGTTTTATTAATTCATCCCTGCAATAAATACATAATTACTTCCCATTATAAATGCATCAGATTAAAATTATCTTTATACATCGTTTTAACGTTTAGAATAATCTTATCACCTACAATATAAATCAAAGGTGTTTAGTTGTTGACATCCTTAATACGTAGAATTTTAATGCACCTGATTTTACGACGATTACAGTATTAGATGTTTAAGATCGTTACAGCTCTCATTGAACTGGTGGCGACTAATCTTGGAATACACATCTGCGCTGACATACTTCTTAGCATACTCTCTATCCTGTAAAAAATGCAAACAATTTTATAAAATACTAGTACTTTGGGTGTGACATTCATAAAATCCATTTTACCGTAAAATATTATACAGAACGTTTCATAGAAATATTTATTTAATAAGAATAATTACAGCGTTTATTACTGTAAAAATTGCGGTGTATCAGATTTTTTTCCTTAATATGCTCTGGTAAAAATCGAATTTAAAGTAAAAAATCCCGTTTGTTACCGTGATTCTATCCGGAATTTTTAAAAAATTTCAGATAGAATTCCGTTAAGAATTACGCTTTTAAAATTACGGATAGAATTACGTTTTTAAAAAGTATTATGTATGTTTTTTTGAAACAATTAACACTTGAAGTATCTATATTACATAGTAACACTATTATCTGAACAACAATATGATTTAAGCCAAAGCATTTTGAAAAATCTAAACTACATAGATGCATATTTTTTACACTTCATTTATTGTTAAATAAAATGTAAAAAATGAGTCAGTTAGACATATATTACTGGTATAAAACAGAAAGACACTTTCAAAAGATAATCAGTTTTTTACTTACAATGTTGTATTTTAAAAAAATTTTTCTTTATTTAAAAACTTTTTTTTTCGGAAATACAAGTCAGTACTCAATCACAGAAATATTTTATTGAAAGTCAAACATATAACGTATTTGTCATAAAATTTTTAAGCTCTTTTATTTATTATATATTACACAAAAATGTCAAAACTTATTTAAGGTACAACTATCGGTTTATAAAATTATTTGTTGGATTATTAATTTCAAAAATGTATAAAAGAAATAATTAATACAAATATTATACAAGTTCCGAACATATTATAAATTGATGTTACTTGAAACAAAGGTAAGTAAATATTTTTGTCACACTTAACGCTTTTTCTGACATTTAAATATTTATAATTAATTTTCATGGCATGAATATCTTTATTTTTTTCTTTATTATTTGCTGTTTCATATTGAACTTTAAAAGCTCTTCAACTTTTCAGAGAGAAGAATCACTTGAATTAATGCCATCATACAAAACAAATCCTTATTTTATCCAATAAATCTCAGCGTTTCGAAAGACATTAGGTATTCAGAAGATTTTCCATGCACTCAACAAGAAAATTAGATCACTTCTATATTTATAAAATTTACTGATAAGCTTATACAATATATCCCTTTGAGATAGCAAATTGTTTGCAAAGATTATAACAAGATTCCAGAATAGAACCTTTTTAGAATGAATTAAATTTCTAAGGCACTAAAAATGAATATATAACGACAAAATAAGGATATATTTTTTTCTGTCTCGAAAAATATAATAAATCCATCTAGATAGATCATATAAAAGGTATAAGTAATGACCTATAAAATGAGATGTATTTAAATAAGGATGTATTTGAAAATTTTTAGTCATAAAAGTTTTTGAATTTCAGAGCTCTGAACCACGCAAAAAGGACTAAAAATATTCCTAAGGGTTGTATTAAATAAATCATATTTTTCAAGAGAAGAATGTGATACTGAAAATGATTTATTGTGTATGCTATTATATATAGGAAATATTACTTAGCAAATACTTACCAACATTTTATTTTTTCAAGATTGAAGTAAAATATTTTTTTTCTTCTAAAAATAAAGCAGACTAAATCTATTTACTTTTTTGTGCAATCCTAAATTAAATTTTTATTTTATACCTTAAACGCATCATATTACATAATTTATTTTACGATCTTTGTCATTAAGATTTT